CTCCGCTACCGCTCGCAGTTGTTTCTGCTTGTCATCCGACGGCAACTTGACGTTTTCGTCTTCTCTGAAATATATCATCTCAGCAAGCGTCGGAAATCGGCCTTTCAAACAAATGAAGAACATGACCGATGAGTGGGGATCATCGTAATTTGTTGTTCGAAATCAAAGTGGCGGTAGCGATGTTCGGTTTTTTACAGCGTTAGTCGTTTTTGTACAGCGAGCTTCCTTTTGATGTTTTGGTTGGTGCGAAGGTGACTGATGGCGGTAATTTGAGTATTTTATTGGTGCGGAAAGCGTAAAAGGATTGACGCTTTTGAGATATGGACAGAGCTTTTTATCTGTGTCATTTGAAAAATAAATCTACAGTACCAACGGTTAGTCTACGAAAGTTTACTGAGTAGATAATAGAGCTACTGGTGTACTGGTGACAAATCGTTCAAACCTCGGCTTTTAATCAGTAGTGCCTAAAAATTAGTGGCCAGACGAGAGAACCGCACGGGTATTATGTAAAAAACCTATAAAACGTCAAAAAAAACCTATAAGATGTCAACTTGCAGACAAGGTAGTTTTTAGGGCGCAAAAAGTCATTCCACGTTTGCTCACTAGAATCGTTGTGAACGTCCATCTATGGAGGAACCACTCAACTAAACTACGCATTATTGGTTGCATAGTTTTGTGATCACAAAGAAATAAGACAGCACAAAGTGCGATCTATTACCGGAATCGACCACTATACCACTAGTTTGTTCAATGACGAGATTAAGTGTTAAAAAAAGAGTAGGTTTTAAAGATGCTAGATATGAAGTAAATTCCCACATAGCTATATATAATAAAAGGTTCAATCAAAAGGTTCTGGACCAGCTGAAAACTCCCTAGTTGTGATTACACTGCACCTGAATGAAACTTATTTTATGTCGATATTTTTTCCTAACTATTTTGTTAGCTGATGTTTTTTTATTATTCTAATGTGTTATAAATCTAATGCCTGCATACAATCTCCCTTCTGCAGGTTGTTTGTAATTTATTTGCCTTTTATTGTATGTGTACTTGGTTTTGATTATGGATTATTTTAGCTTGCTGTTTTCACTTTCGCAGTGAACAGATGGCAGTTTCTGATGTATTATGTCCCCAGACCTTCAGATATTAGGAGACGTATTCGATTTTTTTTTTGAGTGATCGAATATGAAAGAAAAAAGTTAGGTTCATGAGGTATCTGAAACAGACGTACTGCGTGAGAGCCACATTCCTCCAATGCGATGGCAGAGATCAAACCAGAACCATAAGATCTGTCGTTGTTTGAAACTCTTCGAGGAGAACTCTTGTCCTATTTAACAAGCTAACTATCGATCAGCAAGATTTGGTTTATTTGTTTAATTAACTTCACTTCCATTTTTCGCCTACATAATATGTGGTGTGATTTTCCAAGCAACTTTAAAAGGTTAAAAAAATACGTAACCAAAGCGGAGGCTGAGCAATATGACAATCTAAGAATGCCACAGGGCAATTTGGCAGAAGATCGCAAACCGCATGATATACGAAAACAACTGTTAGCAGTAATAATAAAATTAATGACCCTGTAAATTCTCACGTTAAAATTAGGCATTTTACGGCTGTTCCGCCCTTTTTTAGGACATTTTCTGTTTTTATGCTCATACCTCTTAATTTTACTGCTGTATTCCCAGAATCTATTTGACTTTATAGAAAATTTACTGCGTATGAATTTATAGCTTTATACTTGGATGTTAATAGATCGCTAATGTGGTTACATATACAGGGTGACTTCGAAGTTGAGTCATTTATTTTAACAGTGAGTAGATCTGATCAAAAGAAATGTTTTTTTCCTTTACCATTTTTCTGGTAAAATTAAAGTAACAAAGTTATAGCCCTTTGGAAGTTTGAGTACCGCCCTGTCTCAATAATATCATGTGTTCGTGTTTGGCAACAACGGTTCATCGCATCGGAAACAAAAAAGCGAAAGAATTTGGAACGATGTTTTTACGATTACAATTCAGTTCAGTTATACATACAGTCAGTTTCAGTCGCGTGTGAATAGTGTCTGTTGCGTGGCTCAAACGAAATAAAAAATGGCACATGTTTATGCGGATCGGTTTCCAAATCGAGTGCAACCAACCCCTCGTGCCTTTGTTAATGTAGTACAACGGGCTCGTGAATCAGGTGACTTAAGACCTCACAGGGGACCTCACGATCAAATACAGATCCGCACTGAAATACTTGTCGGGAGGATACTTTATAAAACAAGGTAAAATTTTTTTTTAATTTTTTTTTTATTTTTACACACATATTTTGGTTTATCTTCCTTCTACAATCATTATCTGAAAATTAATGACTCAACTTCAAAGTCACCCTGTATATTGTGCGTATTTGAGAAAGTATGTTTTGGGAAAATGCAGTGTATAATTTGTAGCCGCAATTTGGTCTGAAAATCTCCGTGATTTGGTATGCTCATTTTCAAACAACAAGGGGCTCGTCCTAGAAATGTCGCCGCTCAAACAAAAGATGACGGACAATTTTTTAGTCTTAATGATTATCAAAAGTATGTCTTCAGCCTAGGTGAAGAACAGTTATCAGAGATGCAAAATGTGGGGAACCGGAAAGGAAGAGAACAGCACTGCACGCGCATGCTAACACGGCATTTTCTGTATCAGATAGATGCATGAATGTGTTTGCTGCTTTCTGATTCTTCGGTTTCACAGTATAATTCAGTACTCACATTATATAGAATCTTTATAATATTGGAGTCACACTTTCTTTGGACAAAACAGTAAGGGAATTTCTTACTAAAATCAATGAGGAAAAAAGTTGCCCGCTATGATCGTCCATCTATGGAGGAATGATTCAACTACACGCATTATTGGTTGCATATGTTTTGTGAAGCCGAGTAGTCTGTAGTTTTCATATCTGAGTAGAAAGGTGGTGATAGCAAGATCGCATCAGAATGATTATGTGTACTGGTCTGCATGTGTATAAAATCAGTGATATTTGCTGTGGAGAATCAATATGGGTCGCTTACGTAGGCGTCACCTTTCATCGTACGGGATGATGATGAGGATCAACTTGGAATACGAGGTAACTGGAGATCGTCAAATGTTTCACCTACCTTTGCACCCAATGGGTTGTGTTGAACATTTTCCCACATAATATTCTTCAAATTCCAACGAATTTCATGTTTTACGGTAAGTCAAAGTTCAGAGTAAAGTAATGATGGTGGAACTAATTTTCTTTTATGTATCTTGACCCATTTGTTCACTGCCTGATCTTTTTGGTGGGTTGTAAAAAGATAATGTAACTTTCACTTTTTATTGAAGGCTCCATAAGAAACGCGTGTATATGTTTGAATTCTCTTACGTTCTATTATGGTTACGCCTAAGTAGTTGCCCCTCACCAATAAGCACATTTTTAACAAGTTTTTAGGATCGAAGTTACAACTTATGAGAAATGGAGCTAGGGGTACAAACTCCGGTACTACCACCCTATTATTATAATACTACCCACATTATTGATTGAACAAACATAGGTACAATTCAGAAGAAAGTATTGAGAACAATGCTTCTAAGCGCTACCCATCTAGAGAGTTGAGCGTATTGACAGTTCACTCTCTTTATATCTACAGATGTCTCGTTTATATTAAAGAAAATTTGAGTTCTTTCTGAATAAATATGAGACCTATTCAGGGGCGGCTGGCCCTTAAGTTCTGCAGAGCTGCAGAACTGCCAAAACTTTTGTCTTAACAGAAAAAGTCAGTAGTAATTTGATCATTATTTATTTGCCATGTTATCACACAAATAGAAACAATACCGGCCACGCTGCCCCCGCAAGACACGGCGCGGCGTCGAGTCATTTTTGTATTAGGAAAGCATTATAATCGACCAATTGTGTAGGTACTTGTCATTTTCGTCGCGACCGCATGGGCCACTTGAAAAGGGTCTGTGCACTACTTCGACACAAGCCGCACGCGCTTGCTTTTGTCTCTCTCTACAAAATCAAATGCGCCATTTAAGCATCAGCATGTGCTGCACGTTATGCAAATCCATACAGATCTAATGCGAAGTACGATATCTGATTGGTCGCTCGGTGCTCGGTATAAAATTTTGCGGAGCATTTGAATTGGCGGTACGGGGCCGCGACGAAACCGAGAGCACCCAAAACCCGGGAATATTTCGTGGACTGATTAATTTTTCTGCTTAGCTTGATACAACCTTAAGCGAACACATAAAAAATGCTTCAATATTTAAAGGAACTTCGAAAGAAATACAATACGATCTACTGGATTGTATTCTTGAAGTTTGTCATGAAGAAATAATAAAACAGATTATCAGAGCCTCGTATTGGGCGATAATAGCAGATGAAACAACGGACATTTCGGGAAAAACCCAACTGGTAACAAGTTTCAGATACGTATTTAACGGCGAACCAGTAAAACGTTTTTGAAATTATATGAATCCCGATAAATGTGACGCTGGTACTCTCACAAGACATATTTTGAGCGTTGTAGATCCATTAATAGGAAATTTCCCTAACAAACTGATTTCATAAAGCTATGATGGAACCGCGGTAAGCAGCGGACATAATGCTGGAGTACAGGCAAAAATTAAACAAAGATATCCATTTGCTCACTATGTGCATTGCTATGCGCATCAGTTAAACCTGATTATGTCCCAAGCTGCTTCCGCAAATGCTCAAGTTCGGGTGTTCTTTGGGGATTTGAAAGATATTCCGGGATTTTTTAATAATTCTCCTCAACGCGTAGAGGTACTGAACACAATTGTGGGGAAAAAATTCCCCAAGTAGCAACAACTCGTTGGAATTTTAATATTCGAACAATAAATGTAGTGTTTGAGAACAGAGAATCACTCATTGAATGCATGGAAGGAATAGAAGAAAATTTCACTAATGAAACCGTTTGCAAACCAGCTTGCGATATTCGCCGTATGTTAAACGATTCTGATTTCGTGTTTTGGTTGACATTTTTTCATCATGTCATGCCTCACGTCGACATCTTGTTCAACCAGTTGCAGAAGAGAAAAACTGAACTAGCGCAAGTTAAAACGGCTACCGATAATTTTGAAAAATGTATTGTCGATGTGAGAAATAAAATTGTCGACATAATAAATGAAGCCAAAACTATTTGCACTAAACCCCAAGGCAACAAAAGGAGACGACGTAATAATAGTCACGATCACCGAGTTGCCGCATTAGAAGTATGCGACAATATAGTGAATTTTGCAAATGACAGATTTCAATTCAAAGATTATTTGGTAGCCGCATCCCTTTTTGTCCCCGAACACTTTGGAGGATACTGTGGTAAGTTTTCTGATGACAAGTTGGTATCTACCTGCTTGGCTTATCCCGAATTAGAAAAAAGTCGTTTAACGACAGAGTTGTCTATTATTCATCAACGTTTGTCTCATATTGCGATGTTATAAGGGTGGTCCATAAGTCCTTTGAAATTTCAAATTTGAATAAAATTTAACGGGTGAGCGTGAGCGGCGCGGGCGAGGTGGGGGCTGTATCTTCAGTGTCTGGGAATTCAGTCGCCATGGAGTGTTTCACTGGAGCGGATCGTGCTTTTTGTGTGCGCGCGTTTTATCAAAATAATGTTTCGGCAACCATTGCGCGGCGTAAATATCGAGAATACCACAATTTACACAATTTTACAAAGTGTCCAACAGCTCAAACGATTAAGAACTGGGTTGCTAAGTTCGAAGAGACTGGTTCGACGTTAGATAAACAGCGGTGGGGTCGACCAAGGACAACTCGTATTGAAGAAAACATCAACATTGTGGCACAGTCTGTTCGTCAAAATCCTACCCAGTCTACTCGTAAGCGTTCCAGTGCACTAAACGTACCCAGAACATCTTTACAGCGGATTTTAAGGAAAGATTTACGTCTGCACGCTTACAAAATTCAGTTAGTGCAGGAATTAAAAGATAATGACGCTCTTCAGAGACTAAACTTTGCGAATGAAATGTTGAATCGATTTTCTTCACTCAATAATGTGTTGTTCTCGGACGAGGCTCACTTCCATTTAAACGGGCATGTAAATAAACAAAATTGCTATTATTGGAGACCCGAAAATCCAAGGCGTAAGCATCAGAAGCCCTTACAAAGCCCTAAAGTTACAGTTTGGGCTGCTATGTCAGCGCATGGCATCGTAGGCCCTTATTTTTTTGAGGACGACAGAGGTCGCGCATTAACTGTTACTTCGGAGCGGTATGTAGCAATGATAGAGGAGTTTTTGACAACAGCGTTGCAGAATTTTCCAGGCTATAATACGCAGACCTGGTTTCAACAGGACGGAGCAACTGCCCACACCTCCAACACTTCTATGCCCGTCGTCTGTCAACTTTTTCCCAGCAAAGTAATTTCTCGAAGAGGAGACATTTCCTGGCCACCACGTAGTCCAGACTTGACCCCAATGGACTTCTTTTTATGGGGCTACCTCAAGAGTAAAGTGCACGACACCACTCCGCGATCAGTTGATGTCCTGAAAGAAAATATCCGAAGAGAAATGGTAAGCATTAAGGCTCCTCCACACGTAGGCAGATGCGCCGGCAGACGTCATCTGCGGGAGCGTCCGCCGACGTGTAGAGGGGGGTATTTGCTCGACTGTGGGCGGTATTGGACGTCGGCAGATGCGTCTGGCGCTCTTCCGTCTGTTGTCGGTTTTTGTGACACGCAACAAAGGGATTAAGGCGCGAGCGTCCGACGTCTGACCACACGTCTGACGACGAATGAGCACGCATCAGTGCTATCGGAATCGGGAAAGAGACTGTACTCGCGCTTCTTAAGGTTTTTACCTTAACCTTTTTCGCTAACATGGCTAATATGACCACTGATGAAACCTTCAAATTTATTGAGCTATATCAAGCAGAAAACTGCCTGTGGAATCCAAAGAATAAGTACCACAAAAACAAAAATGTTGTAAGTATACGCACTCAAGTAGTAATTAAAAGTACTAAACAAATAAATAGCTGCGACCTGCAGACGTCTGCAGACGTGTGGTCAGCTCGTGGGGATTCACCTGCCGATGCATCTGCCGACGTCCGCCGACGCATCTGAAGACGTGTAGTGGAGGCATAACAGTGTTGACTTGCCGCGCAGTCATCGACAATTTTAGACGTCGTTTATATGAGTGCCGTGATCGTAATGGATTGCATTTAGACGATGTGATTTTTAAAACATAATTCCCATTCAATAAAGATGATAACAAAATATAATAATTCTTCATAATGTAACTAGTTTGGTTTTATTCCTTTTTTTCCAGCTCAAAGGACTTATGGGCCACCCTGTATTAGTCATTCTACTTGTTATGTTTGCTTTTTATATATACACGATATTCCTGAAATTGACAATTCCAATACTGCGAATTGTGTAGTATCCCGGAAATAAAGTTATTATTATTATTCGGTTTCGGCCGTAAGTTATGTAAAATCCGAACATCGGCCTTATTATTGCCTAATCGCTTAAATAAAGCACCACAATAAAATTCATCTACTTATATATTATTCCCAACATCGCATCATCTTGCAACAAATACCGACATAATAACAATAAAAAATTACATCCTACACTTTTTTTAGTCTTAATACTGAAAGCAGGATTGAGATCACATATACAAATCTGCCCGTCGGTCCGCTGCCATAGGCGGAGACGAGGGACGGTCAAAAGGGGCGGCACGTGACGTCATCTAATGGGGCGGCCAATAAATAGTGGCAGGGAGCGGTTAACTGTTGTGGCATTGCATCGTCTGTATCGAGCAGCCGTGGCAGATGTCGTTCTTGCACATCATGCCTTCTCCGCATTGACCCAAGACGTTCAAGGAACCTCCGCATCGTTCTCCAGGGCCTTTGGCGCAGACTCGCCTGTTGCAGGCATCTCGCACCTGAAAATTAAAAAATGGCGTCAAGTTGGTTGACCATGCTCTTTCCACGCAACGCTGTTATCGGGTCATGCATGCAAAACAAAAAAACAGAATTAACTATATCAGGTGAGCCAAACAAATTCATAGGTGAGAGGACTTTGAAGTCAGTCATTTTTCAGATACAGTGCACATATAAATGTATGAATAAAAGTCTAGGTTTTGTGATACGCAACTCTCGTGATTTTGGTAACATGAAGGCTCTACTCATATTGTCCAATAGGGAAGCAGGAAAGTAAACGTCAATTTGACATAGACGCCATCTTTGTTTTCTGTCACCGACATGTCATTTTGTTAGTTGAATGTTTACCATTGATCGCTATGGAGTCGTATTCGATTGAAGACCGTTATTCAAGAGCACTACAAAAATGGTGCAAAAATAAAAAACACGTTTCGCGCGCTTCGTGAACATTTCGGTCGCAACAACCGCCCAAACGAAACAACCATCGGTCGTCTGGTGCGTAAATACGAGGCAACAGGTTCTGTGGCAAATCTGCCAGGCTCTGGACGGCCAAGGAGCGTTCGCACACCGGAAAATATTGCTGTTGTAAAGGAGAGTGTGAGAGACGATCCGAAACAATCAACAACGCGTCGATCCCAAGAATTGGGCATTTCGAGAACCAGTTTGCTTCGCATTCTCCACAAGGATTTGAATGTACACGCCTACAAGATCCAATTGACGCAAGAGCTGCGTCGGGCCGACCATTTTTCGCGCCGAACGTTCTCAGATTGGCTCCTTGAACACCGCCAAATTGATGCCAATTTTTCATCAAAAATCATGTTCAGCGACGAAGCGCATTCCACTTTGAATGGGACGGTAAACAAGCAAAACTGCCGTATCTGGGCGAACGAAAATCCCCGTGAGTATCAAGAGCAGCCGATGCATCCTCAAATAGTGACTGTGTGGTGTACATTGAGGTCAAAAGGCATCATCGGACCTTAGTTTTTCGAAAATGCGGCCGGGGACGCCGTTACCGTCAATTCTGAGCGATATCACGTGATGATAGAGGACTATTTTTTGCCGCAACTTGAAGGAATGGATATGGACGATGTTTATTTCCAACAAGACGGTGCAACATGCCACACAACCAACGTCAATATCCATCGATTGCAGTCCTTCTTCGGCGATCGCGTGATTTCGCGCAGAGGAAATGTGCCATGGCCACCAAGATCGTGCGATTTGACTCCCTTGGACTTCTTTTTATGGGGTTATTTGAAAAGCAAAGTCTACGTCAACAAACCTGCCACCCTCCAAGAACTCAAAAACAAGATCATTGCCGAGATAAATGCCATAGAACCGACCATGTTGCAAAATGTCATTGAAAATTTCGACCATCGCGTGGACGTCTGTAAATCCAGTCGTGGTGAACATTTGAGCGATATTATTTTTCATACATAAATGGTATAAATGAACCTTCAAAATAAAGTACCCAACTTGATTTGAATATCAATCTTTCTTGTTTTAATATGCGTTTACTTTCCTGCGTCCGTTTTGGACAACCCCATTGCATTTGTGATTTCAAAACTTGAATACTTTAGAATTATTTGGAATTCCTGCTATGTGACGACTTGTGACTCCTTAGAAAAAATGCAACGTAAATTTCTCAAATATCTGTCCTACTGGATAGATGGTACCTACTTATCCAGAAAAAGGAATAGTTATATGTATTATTGAAGAGGCACGATATGCTAAGTTTAGACCACAGAAGAAAAATGCACCCTTCAATATTTTTGTTCAAGGTTATTCACAGTCAATATGGTTAACCATGTATTGTAAGTCACCTGTTGATTACTTTATACCAAGATGGCTCACCAAAAAAATTCTAACGTTTTATATACTAGTCCCCAGGACCTACGTATTTCTGCATTCTCCCTTATATTCCATGCATAACTGTCTGAACAATGTAAAAAACAGAATTCATATTTCCGATACGAATGTGACTTCTATTAAGATCCTCTGCAATCGTGTAGCTTCTTGAATAATATGTTTTTTATGTCTATTACTGTATTTTTGTACTATGTAAACTTCTATTCTCCCACCAATAATTGGTTGATCTGTCGGTGGTGTAAATAAATAAATACAATTAGTCCCATTGTAAGCACTGCAATCTAGAAACTTATTCTCTGCCCTTACTGAAAGTATCTACTATCTGGCCACGTCAACCATGCTATACTGGCCAGCTCGAGCAGTCTGGCGGTGGGAGATTCGTCGGCAGTCGCAGACAGGATTTTGTGGATATCCGGGTGAGCTCTTAGCGTACGCTAAGTGCGACCTAGACGCGACACGTCCGTTTGATGTAGTAGAACTTAAATCTAATTTACGGAGCTACATCATAAGCGGCAGGTTTGCTAATACAATTTTATAATATTCGTGGCATAGTAGTAAACTTATGTAAAAATCTCATCGCAATCCGAGTTATAGAAGGCCAACAGATCGACTAAAATAAGTGGCGTGGTTTTTTGAGGTATAGATGTCATGTATCATCCAAGAAATATATATCAATTTAGTATTTTTCTTGGCAATTACAGTACTTCCTCGCTAGTAGGCCTGGCAAGTAGAATCGACCCTGTGCAAAGTCTGGCAGTCTAACCGTTTATAGTGGGTGATTTTTTTGCTAGTATCTTTTTTTCAACACTGTTTTTGACAGATGACGCGTGAATCGTGTCTTGTGTCATTGTCAAACTTGTTCAGTTTGGTCTATAATTTAACCATGAATCGACTTACGAACGAACAACGCTTGCAAATTATTGAATTTTACTATCAAAATTCATGCTCGGTTAAGAAAGTGCATCGAGCACTGCTTCCAATGTATGGGCAATTTGGTCGGCCTACTGAGGGAGCTATTCGGAAGCTTGTGACTAAATTTCGAACCCAGTTTACATTATTGGACATTAAACCACCAACACGCAGACGTAGAGTGAGGACTGAGGAAAATATTGCGGCTGTATCCGCCAGTGTTAGTGATGACCGTGAAATGTCGATTCGCCGCCGCCCGCAGCAATTGGGCCTCTGTTACTCCACTACGTGGAAAATTTTGCGACAGAATTTGAGTGTAAAACCTTATAAGATACAGCTGGTGCAAGAATTGAAGCCACACGACCTCCCACAACGTTTCCAATTTAGTGAATGGACGCTGGCAAAGTTGGAGGAAGATCCACATTTTTATAGAAAAATTGTGTTCAGCGACGAAATTCATTTCTGGCTGAATGGGTACGTTAACAAGCAAAATTGCCGCATCTGGAGTGAACACCAGCCAGAAGCATTGCAAGAGCTACCAATGCATCCCGAAAAAATCACTGCTTGGTGTGGATTATGGGCCGGTGGCATCATCGGGCCGTACTTCTTCAAAGACGACAATGGCCGGAACGTAACTGTGAATGGCGAGCGCTACCGTGCGATGATAATAAACTTTTTTTTGCCCAAAATGGAAGGGCTGTACTTGGCTAACATGTGGTTTCAACAAGACGGTGCCACATGCCACACCGCACACGAAACAATGGCCCTATTGAGAGGCGAGTTCGGTGAACAGTTTATCTCACGTTTGGGGCCCGTCAATTGGCCGCCTAGATCGTGTGATTTAATGCCGTTGGACTATTTCTTGTGAGGCCATGTTAAGGCTAATGTCTACAGGGATAAACCAGCAACGATTGACGCACTGGAAGCCAATATTGAAGCATTTATTCGTGAGATACCGGCCGATATGTTGGAGAGAGTGTGCCAAAATTGGACCTTGCGCATGGGTCATCTAAAGCGGAGCCGCGGCCAACATTTACATGAAATAATCTATAAACATTAAATTATATCGACCGTTCTATCGACTCAAATAAAGATTTGATCGTTCTTTCAAATTTTTTGTGTTTTTTTTGAAAATCAAATCCTATACCTCTTAAAAATCGTTATATGGTACAATAGTCATTTGAAGTGGTTTTTGAGATTGAGAAACCTTCGGTACCACTATTAAAAAGTACCTCTCCCCATACGCAGTAATCAACGGGATCCTCCTCACATTCACCCAGAGTCTCGCATGGCTTGCACACCCATACTGCTTCCAGGACATGGTCTGCGATGATGGTCGCGAGAACTACCAGTACCATCCAGTTGAAGGGGGGCATCGTATACAAGGGGGTAGAGGGAGTAATCCAGAGGGACGGAAAAGGCTGGATGGTGCAGCTGAAAAAAAGCTGCGTCTTTTTCTGTTGCTGCGTCCTCTGAGAGTGGCGGCACAGGAGTTGATTGGTGACAGCGATGTTGGGTTGTGCTCTGAAAAAAAAACGAGACTTTCACAATCTGTTTGATCAGTCCTCATGATTAGATGCAAGAAATACTACCGATGTAGGCTCTATTCCATGTTCTTAGTTATTAGAAGTAGATTCACAGGCCGTGACCAAAAATGTAACATCATACACAGGACCGCATTTTAAGGGGGGGCTTCTATGTAACATTTTTTCCTCGATTTCTTCATTAAAAAGATACGAGATGTTGAAGTTCAAAACCGTCATCTGTAATAAACTAAAATTTGGTCAGTCGAACATCCCTCCTCTGAATAGCGTAAGAATAATGTAGTCAGGATGGCAGGAACCCAGACATGGGAGCAGTACGCGAAGCTAGGTTTTATCGGGGCCTTGTACAGAGTGACGATGTAATACAGAGTACTTCTTAGCCCTAAACAAATAACCTACTTTTTTACCGGCAGCTGTTGCGGTTAACAACGTCAATTACTACGGACATCTTGCGGCCGGAGGGGGAGCTGATCTAAAAGTTTCGTAATATCAAAAGCAACGACATGAGCCTCACGACGTAACAGGATGAGTTTACTCCGCACTCCACAGTTATGTGGCGTATCGTTGCTCCATTGACATGATTAGTCAATACATTATTTCATCAGTTCTAAAAACAGCATTTTTAATACCTTCATTTAAAATTAGGAATCCAACGTTAATATCAAATTACAGAGAAATATGGCTCTCTCAAATTTCTCTGAATTATATAAAAAACTACTTAATAATTTTCAAAAGCATGAATATACAGTGAAAAATTTACCCAGAATATTTTGTGAATAACATGATCTGGTCAATGTGAACATGGGTTGATATTTACATTCTTTTATATTTATTACAAAACCAATTAACTTTTCGGTGGATATAAGTCCAAACATGTTTAAAGGAGCGTTTGAGGCACCTAGAAGGTGCTGACTCTTGTAATTGCCTTAATTTCCTCTGCATATATCCTCCGCTTGTAGTAGCTATGTGTGTTGCCTAAACGTCAAATATCTGCTGTCGGTGTGTTGAGTAGTTAAGGCAAATGACGGCCGTTGTGCTTTTCCTCCATAAGTGGTGTTCACTACCGCTATGCTGGAGTGAGCTATCCTTTTAGCTAGTGTCGTAGTAGTAAACGATCTGTTTTACGCCAAAATTATGAAGTTAGTAGTCGGAATGCAAAAGTCGATAGGGTTTAAGCTACCAGTTTGACAGTTGTTGACAAATTTCACATTAAATTCGAACTTTTCTGCGAAAACATATAAAGTGCGTGGGTTCCATACAATCCTAGTGTTCCAGGCAAATCTTTTTGCCGGAAAGTGTTCTGTATTATAATCGTTCGCGCTGCGAAAGGGCATGTTCTTTAACATTGGTCTTTTACATGGGCAGTTGTGAGGTAATGTTGATTTATTTCATTTCACTGCTAGTTTCATTGTTTAACCAGTCCCAACATAAGGTTTATTAACAGAATTGTTTATACCTAGCACCAACATTGGAAAATGCAAAATATTAAAGACAAACCAAATGTTTTGGATATTGAAAATGGCCAACCGAAACATTAATCCAACCAGGCAGAACTGAACTTTAACTTGATCTGCTTTAGTTTTGAATCAGTTCTTCGCGTTATAATTAGTGATTTTACGATCTCATTTTAGTGCTACGGGATTCTACCGAGTATGCCCAAAAAAACTATGGATATGCAATTAATTAAAATACTACCAAACGTTTTTAATGGATAGGTATAGTGACAATGACAGGAATAGCGATGTGATCGCATCGCCATAATTTTCACTTTCGAACCAGCTATCATTGACTTCATTATTAGCTGTGTGTGTTCTCTAAACGTTAATATACTTGAGTTATGTGCTGTGGCTCTGATGTGTTGCCTCAGAGATAGCACTAGCGGAGGCCATTCATAGCTTGCATGGTCTAACTGTAAGCTGTAAGTTCAACATGGTCGTTGTGTCATTTCTCCATAGATGGCGTTCATAGCGAGTACACGTGGCGTCGGCTAACGACTAGCTGGTACGACAATCAGATCTTAGCGATTATTGCGTGTATAGGGTTGCCGGTGCTGAACACCTGAGATCGTGAGCAACACGACTATGAGCCTTGCTTAGAACAATTTAACACTTAAAGTAATTGTTACTACGAACCGTTTTAAATCTGATAACTCCAGTGCTTTGCTTTAACAGGATGATATGCTCGTATGCGAATTGAATGACTTGGTGCACTCGAGAATAAATGGAGTTTTAGGAACACAAGTCGTTGTGCATCGGTGTCGGTTATCTTTTAATATTGTAATCACATGGCATTCCATTAAGCACCAATGAGATACAAATTCATTCTGAAAGAAGCAATCGTAATGATTGCTTGAGTATAAAAGGCAGCTAACTTTTAAATTAATAATATACAGTGGTTAATAATCTACAGTTCCTCATCTATTAAACGTAAAAGTGACTGTTGAGAATCTGCAGACGCCATCTTGAAACATTGCTTAAATGGAATGAGACGTAATGCCTCATTTTGAAGTTACTTTATCAGTTCTTTATAGGACTGGAACATACATTCACTGGCAAACTGGTGAGCTGTCAAAATTGATCGTTTGTGTTTCAATCGGTTATACCTTAGCAGCCAATTATCAAAGCGCTATAGTATATTAATTGTCGAAGTATTCTTCTCTTGTAAGGATCTATCCAAATATGCAATAAAATATGGGAAATTCCATTGCATTTTTTTTCAATTTGTTATTTTTTGAAGCGGAGTGTGAAAATGGTATAATTCTATAGCATTTTGATTAGTTTTTGAGTTATAGTATAAGCAATTCGATGTACAAAAAATGTAGTCAACCAGGTTGATTCTACACTTGCCATGCTGCCATTAGTTCATGTAGGGCACAAGATAGCCCCTCTCAAATATGTATACAACAAAAAAATTAAACGGATCAAACCAGTCAAACCGGCCCATACAATTAGTCCATAGTCCAAATTTAGGAGCACCCCCTTTAAATCCTATAGGTTTTTTTCCGGAAACGGGGAACCACTGAAATGTCAAAAACAGAGGCTTGTACGATTCTTATCTTTTTCGTTTTTTTCCCGCCATTAGACCGATTTTCAAAAATTGAAACTAGGAAGCTTTTTCGTTTTGGCGTAGTGGCAGTCTTCACTCAAAATTACATCAAAATTTGATTAGTACTAGAGACAGACACACAGACAGAAGAAATGAGTGACATCCATGGATGCTACAAAAAATTGATTTTTTTGTAGCATTCAAAAAACAAAATCTCATTTTAGAATTTTCTGCGAATACAACACTTCCTCGTCAGTGGCGTGGGATGTAAAACGCTAAAAATTAGACATGCCACCAGCACTTTAGGGTTATGAATCACATGAACCCACGTTCAGTTTAAACATATGTAGGGGGACCTTTTCACTGTATATCATGGGCGTAGAAAGGAGGGGGGTTTGGAAAAGAATACATCTGTGATTAAAGCAAATATGACAAGCACCTTTACCGAATCCACTACTCCAAAATCTGCTTTGGAATGCCTAGATAAGTGCAATTAAAAACTATATCCAAATATCTACACATTGCTGCAAATTTTGGCTACCATACCTGTTTCCAGTGTTACCCCAAAAAGGTCTTTTTCAAACCTGAGGAGACTGAAAAGCTATATTGGCGCAACACAAGCAGTGAAAACAGACTGAACGGTTTGGCGCTTATGAATACGCACTATGAGGCTGAAATTGATGCCGGCGAAGTAGTGGATATATATATATGGGTGACTTCGAAGTTGAGTCATTTATTTTAACAGTGAGTAGATCTGATCAAAAGAAATGTTTTTTTCCTTTAACATTTTTCTGGTAAAATTAAAGTAACAAAGTTATAGCCCTTTAGAAGTTTGAGTACCGCCCTGTCTCAATAATAATATTATGTGTTTGGCAACAACGGATATCGGTTCATCGCATCGGAAACAAAAAAGCGAAAGAATTTGAAACGTTTATCACGTTGTTTTTCGTCAGTCGGTAACGCGTGGGTGAATAGTGATGTTTGTTGCGTGACTCAAACGAAATGAAAAATGGCACATGTTTACGAAAATGCTGAACTTGTGGACATGATTCTTATTTACGGAGGGGCAGTCTTTACAAAATGCTGCCGGATGCATCACGGATTTATGCGAATCGGTTTCCCAATCGAGTGCAACCAACCCCTCGTGCCTTTGTTAATGTAGTACAAAGGGCTCGTGAATCAGGTGACTTAAGACCTCACAGGTGAGAGCATGCCGGTGCTCCAAGACCGCACGATCAAATACAGGTCCGCACTGAAATACTTGTCGGGAGGATACTTTATTAAACAAGGTAACATTTTTTTTTTATTTTTTTTTATTTTTACACACATATTTTGGCTTATCTTCCTTCTACAATCATTATCTGAAAATTAATGACTCAACTTCAAAGTCACCCTGTATATACAGGGTGTTTCAGTTTATTGTTGCATAACTTTAAGATTCGATAGAACTTTTAAAATTAATGCATAAAGTCTATATAAATATGGGTCGAAAAATGCGTGACTTCCGAAATTTAGGGTGTTTAAATTTACTTTTTAAAATAGTTTTTTTTTAAATATTTCGAACAATATTTGATGTATAACAGTGAAAATTGGTATACAAGGGTTTTTTGGTACAACAAAACGAACCATGGGCATAGTTTTACTGTAGCCGCTAGAGGGCGCTCTCTACTGTACCTGTAGTGTATTAAAATGACCGAAAAATTTTTCTTAGTATAATTTTTTGCTTTTTGAAGAAAAAACTGATTATTCGCACTTTTCTGCGTAGAAAAGCTCTCCTGTGAGTTTTCGTTATAGTTAGCCGTTTTTGAAATATTTCGATTTTTAAGGTTCGATGCATTTTTAATTATTTATGCGAAAATAATATTTTTTTACATTTTTGATTTGGGCATTACAAGTAATTAAGATGATCGTTTAGATTGTCTTTTTAAACATAGC